CATTTCTCTCCAGTTGTTCCTGATGGGACATAAAAATGTTATTGGGAACTACCAGTGAATAATTATAATCGGCACCAGAACAGTGGGAGGTATAATCTGCTCATAATTACTTGACTCTTTTAAGGGGCTAATGCTAAAAAGGCACACCATTTCTCATCAGATTCAGTCTCTTACAGTTGGCTTAATACAAGACAAATGTTGTCCTTAATAGCAGAAATTTTATTGATACTGGAAGTGAGAACATACCACCAGTCTCACCTGTCTGACCAAAGTTTCTTTGTTAAACATGAGCAAGATCTGTAGTTAGCAGCATTGATATACAGATGAACATGCAGTACATTTTCCACACTTCACTGGAGTACGGAGAGGCACTCACTGGTGTGAGCACAGAGTTGGAAGCTGTGGACTCCTGGATTTTAATCCAAGTTCTGCTGTTGACCTCATTCTGACTTCAGCAAATTCCTTAATCTTAGAAAATTAGGGTATTAGTTAGCATGTCTGCATCCTGATGCTGTTGAAATGGATGCTTGTAAAGTGAAATAAACTCTTTACCTGCTAACTATCATGACCAGGTAGAGCAGAATTTAGATCATGTGTTTGTGCTCCCAGGGGATCAGTGAGCTTTTGCCTTAACTTCAATGACAGGAGAGAGAGGCCTGTGTAAAGTGCTTTTGAACAGTCCATTGGAGGGTTTAACATTGAAGGGAGAGACGAGCTACGATTGGTTTCTTTGGATACTGGCAGTGTCCTTGGAATGACACAGCATTCAACTTTTATATTACTAATAATGCTGCATTTGTTCCCAGGACCAGTCCTGCCCATGTTTCCCATCTTGCATGCACATTCCACCTGATTATTTGGTGGTGGCTCATTGTATGTAGGGCCTTGTCACCTTTGGTTACCAATTTTAAGCAGCCAGCCAGCAGTACCAGTGGCCTAGGCTCAGCTAATGAGAAATGAGCTGTATTTTTCCTGTATATTCCCTAGTGGAGAGTGTATTTCCCATCCCCAGTCCCACCTTAAAGTTGGTACCAATTCTCTACTACAGGGGATGTCAACCAAGGGTGGGCATACCCCTGGGGGTACTTGGGAAGGCCTCAGGGGGTGCGTGACAGTGATGTGGAGAAATGGGGGCACTTCCAGTTTCACCGGTGGCACTTCTGGTTTTGCTGCTGGTTTCATTGCTGCATGCAGGGGACCTCTCTGCCTGCCTTCCCGCTCATTGACTGGCTGGGGGACTCCCTGCTTTTTGACCAGCTGCTGGGGGTACACCAACCAAAAAAGGTTGAAAACCCCTGCTCTACCATCATTGTCAGGCTGAAACAAAAGAAAGTATTGATGGGAGATGACCCAGAGAGTCATTATGAGGGAGAGGCACGGGGCAGAGTTATGAAGGGGATATTTGCACTGCTGCAGCTTCTGTTGTGCCAGTCTAAAAGATTGTTTTCTTTTAGTCTGTCAATCCAGTTTGAAATTCCTAAGTTTGAGCTTGTGATCTTGCTGTACCTGGTCATGATTTCAGCTTGGAGCATTGTTGTCATTTTATTCTGAGTGCCACTAGTAACCATGTCTTAGAAGGAAAATTTGCAACTGTATCTATTTATGTCCCAGGTGCAAACACCACTCAGTTTCACTTTGGCTGCCTTATGTAGGTCACAGCAGACACATTGCAGAACCGCAGTTATTCTTTTCTTGTCCTTTTTATTCTAGCAAGTGGCAAAAGCTGTAGTTAAGAAGCCAAAGTACTGCTTAGATCTAGGTGAACCTATGGCAAAGATCTGTGATCTCATACTAGTAGTTCTGTGGAAAGTCTTTCAAGTAGGAATGTGAGCGTATAATGTAGTGGTATTGTCTAAGGAAAGAAGAACACAAGGATGTAATGATGTACAGATTTAATTATACTACTTTAAACTTTATTTAGCAACTTCAGTTCTCGAAGCATAAAATCCCATGCCCCTGTTTAATGTCTGTGTATGTGGAATTTGTTGGAACTGTTCTGAATAAGCAGCACTTATTGCTGAATGAGGTCTCCTTGAAGATAACCTGGTTGAATAATATGTATGTATAATCTACTACTTAAATATACCATTAGATAGATGCTGTGGAGCTGGGGGTATACAAGGCAAGGCTCCCTTGGTACTCAGATCTTCCTGAGTGGTTTAACCATCTAACCTCCTGTCAGCCATATGCTACTGGTTGCACATGAGAGACTGGGATTATGCAGAAAACCTAGTATCATTATGCATCCTTAGAAGACTACCGTATTTTTGCGCATGTAGTCTGCGAGCTATACATGTTTTTACAAACACGGATGGGTGTGGGCTATACAAGGGTGTGGGCTATGCAGAGCCTTTAGAACAGCATAGCCCGTCCCCGGCTGCGGGCTGATGTCATGGCAGTGGCAAGCCCCGGCAGGATTGAGTGTGGCTGGCGACCGGGAGTGGGGCTGCCTCCCCCAGCTCGCAGCTCTTCCTCCCTCCCCTCCCCTGCACCACTTCTAGCTGGCTTCAGCTCCAGCTCTGGCTCCGGCAGGGATGCCCAGCAGAGCCTGCGCTTGAGTGCAGCTGGTAGTGGCGGCAGGGAGAGGGGCTGGCAGCTCCTCATCCTTTCCCTCCCCTGCAGCAATTAGCACTGGCTAGGGGTGGCGGGGGGAGCGGGGCTCACAGCTCCTCATCTCTCCCCTCCCCTGCAGCAATTAGCACCAATTAGCTCCGGTGGCCGTGCCCAGCAGAGCCTGCACTGTCAGGTACAGGGAATACATAGGTGCAGTCTGTACACAGACTATTTTACAAAAATACAACTTTCCGTGGGTTATATCAGTATGCAGGCTATATGCGTGAAAATATGGTACTCATTAAAGTACATATATAAAAGTACCATTTCTACACAACACTTGAGTAACTGTGGGTGTGTTGGTTACTGCGCTGTGCATGTGGCACATGGTTAGATTTTGCTTTGTTGCTGTAGTGGTGCGCTATACCAGGGGAGTGCACCATTATAGTGACATAGGTGGTGATCATGTGTAGACCCATGTGATTGCTATGTAGATGCATCCTGTGGCACTCATTGCTGCAGGATGTTGTTGTAGCAAGGAACTTAGCAGGATTCAGAAAGTGATTTGAATTTGCATGGCTAATGAGAGAAGTCACAGTGACATCAGGAGGGGTAAAAAGGTTATAAAGAATATAAAAGTTCCTACTGTAGGATGAAATCCAAATACTAGTTGAGAATGTTGAAAAACTCCTTAATTTTCTGTTACATAGTTTATATCAGAACGCTGGGTAGAGGTGATATCTTTTATTAGACTAACTATATATTTTATATCAGACCTTCATCTGCTGTATGATACTAGCTGATGAAATAGGCTGCTGGACTACTAGAAGAATGGATGCTTAGAAAACAATAAAAATCAATTTAGTGACCCCTATACCCCAGCATAATGCAACAGGAAGGGGATGTAATGAGAGTGAAGTAATATTTTAAGTTACATTTTTTTTTTCCTCCCAGTGCATTTCATCTTTTGTCTTTCTTAGATTATGAACTTTTCAGCCCAGGGATAGACTTTTTGTGCAGCAACAAGGTTTGTGTAGATGCTTTACAATGATAGGGTTAATCCCACCCCACAACAACAAAAAAAGTTCAAGTTCTTGGCTCCTCTATAGCCAGTGTCCTGCAACCCTCATTCTTCTGGTGTAGCAGGACTGCATGAATAGTCTAGAAAGGTCTACCAAGGTTGCTGCTGGATTATCCCCTGCATTGGAGTTCTTTAGGGCCATGCCTCTGAGATTTGTGATTTAGTGTTGTCTCTTGTGGCTCATATGTAATGTTTAGTATGTTGTGGTTCGTATAGGACCAGGAACATGAAATCCCTTCGTCTTGAACTGGTTGACTATGAGATCAGTTGATAGTTTTTTTTTCCTATGACTTCAGTACCAGGCATATCTAGTAATCTTAGAGTGAGATCCATCTTCTTTTTGAGGGAAGGTGTCCTCCTCTTGGCTTGGAGTGCTTCTCTTCTCCTTTTACATGTTACAGGTATTACACACAGGTTAGGTTAACAGGATAATTGCACAGTTACCTGGAGACCAGCTACATGTGCAAAGTAGCTATCATGCCATGAAAAGCTGCAATCAGCTATCAAGTTAGACCTCAAAGATGTGTACTAACTTTATAGCTGGTTGCTATAAAGCTTTAATTTACACATGTAACAGGGTCTTCCCTGTGATAGGGAGTCCTGCAACTGGGGAGACTTTCAGCCCCAGCAGCTCCCAACTCAGGGTCCTGGCAGCACCCCACAGCTGCTGGGACCCCACATTGTGCCTCCTGGTGCCAGAATCCAGCTGGGTCCCAGCAACTGTGGGGTGCTGCTGTAATTTTTGAGTTCCCAGAGCACATGACCCCCTGGGGCTGGGAGATCATGGCAGCCACAGTTGGTGCACTGGGCACCTCCATGCCTGAGAGACTCCCAGCTACAAGAGCTTGCTTCTTGGTAGTGCAGGTGGAGCACTGGATCAGGCTTCTCTTGCACTGGCAGTAAGGTACAATGAGATCTAATGCAGGATCCCACAGTCATGCCTTCTGCCATACACATGAGGCATGGCAGGAGGCACGATTATGTGGATCATGCATTGGATCCCATTGTACCTTTATCTGCATGTGTAGCCCTTAGTGAGGCTCATTTTTGGGTTTACTCCAGAAACAGAGTGCCTTGGATAGACTCAGTGGGGTTCCTTGATGTTAGACGGGTAAAAAGAAAAGTTTTCAATATTAGAAAAATCTTCCTGCTAGCAAAATCTACTGGGAGTACAGAGTTTCTTTAGACATGGTAGAAACCCCATTGTTAAGTCATGTGGACAAAGCACTTGAGTCCTCTGTAGAGAACACTCTTGGTGCGGCCTTAGGAAATGACCTACTTAGTGTCTTCCATATACATGACCTACTTAGTGTCTTCCATATATATCTGGTCTAACTCTCTCTGTCTCTCTCTGGTTTGCTTATAGGTACAAAGATGATGTGGACAGTCCTCTGGAAGAGAATGGGAAGCAGAAAGTCTTATACAGCTTAGAATTCACATTTGATGCTGATGCCCGTGTTGCCATCACAATCTATTGCCAGGCTACGGAGGAATTCATCAGTGGTATGGCAGTGTAAGTTCTGGGTAAAAAGGGGTGCTGACAAATTACACACATCTGAAACTCATCTCTCTTATTCTAGTAACAGTTGAGAAGAATATTCTGACAGAGGCTGGAAAGCAATGGTTCTCCTTTTTTTCTATTGTATTTGCTTTGTTCATTTGATAACATTGTACATTAGTTACTGTTTCCTCTGCGTTATGCAGGTCTTCCATGTGGGGTAGGTGGGGGAGAAACCTGAAGTTGTTCCGTTTGTCAGGCAAACGCAAGGTGTGATACAGTGGAACACTTGTCATGCCTATGGGGGTGCTTCACAACCAGCTTAATTCTCACCAACTTCCCCAATTAAGGACAAGCCTCTCACTTGTCTACTGTGGCTTTTACTTCAGGGCCTAAGTTTCCACTCAGGTAGACTTAATCAGTGGTCCCATACACCTGGTTGAAGTGGCGTTTTTTGAAGTAAAAGCTGCAGCAGCAGCAAGAGTACTTTCGTGGCCCTGCTCAGCTCTTTGTTGTGGCTCTGTTTACTCTTAGCTAGTTGGCAACGCCTGATCTGGGGGAGGCATAAGGGGTACGTGCAGAAGTGGGAGCCTCCCTGTGCCCCTGAATGTGACCCATGGCTCTGTCCCATGACCTGCACCGGCCCCAGGGCCCCATTCACCTCTGCCCCACTCCCTCCCTCACTGTGGGGGCCTCAGTCTATACCCAGACTCCAAAACCATATGTGCTATTAACATGTTAAAAAATTGAATGTGAACAATTAATGCATTAATTTTGTGCATTAACTATGATTAATTGACAGCCTTATAATTTATTTTAATAGGCAGGTGGGAATGAGTCTCAATTCCTTCTACATTTTTTCATCTGATGATCTTTGAAAAGACTCCATCCTCAGTACATTGACTGTACCGATCCACATATTTCTATTAAGAAGAAGCATCTGAAAATCTAGTCAGTTAAGTTTTTAAAAAATCACTTTAAACACTTTCAAGTGCAGTAGAAGTTGAATATTATCATCTTCAGCCATAGAGAATATGGGGAGTATCAACATCCTTTTCATAACCACCCTTTAGGTATTTGATGATGGTTATCAACTACATGTCCCATCTTTTCTTCTCTAGACTAAGTAATCAGAGTTCCTCCAACTTTTTCTCATAAATTGTCTTTCCCAGATCCCTGGGAACCTCTTTTGTTACTTGTTGCTGAACTGTAATTTCTTCATGTCTGTCTTGAAGTGAAGTGCCCAAAATTAGGCAAAAGAGTCCAGGTGAGGCCTCACCAGTGCTGAATAGAGCAGAAGAATCATTTCCTTTGATTTGCAAGGAATTCTCCTGTTAATACACCCCATGTTGTGAGCTTTTTTTGCAACAACAGCATGCTGTTGGCTCATAGTCATTTTATGGTCCAGTGTAACCCCTAAGTTCTTTTCCACAGTACTGTAACCAAGCCAGTCATTCCCCAGTCTGTATTTGCGCATGTAGTTTTTCCATATGAAGTGCAGAATTTTCCAAATGTCCTTTATTAAAGTCCAGTTGCTTAACTTTTACCATTTTTCTAATTTATCAAGATCATTCTGAATCCTTATCCTGTTCTCCAAAGTGTCTGGGATTCCAGTTCCCTTTGGTGTCATCTGCAAATTTGTTGAACTTACACTCAGTCCCATCCTCCAAGTCATTAATGAAAATATTAAACTACCCTGGATTCTGGACAGACCCTGGGGGTGGGTGGGGAGAACCCTGCTGAATATCTCCTGTCAAGTAGACATCATGCCATCGATGACTTCTCCTTGAGTACAATGATTCAGCCAATTATGTATCCACCTTAGAGTATTTTCTAGAGCAGGGGTTTCAGACATACAACCTCTGGAGACATTTCCTTCAATCTGCATCACTCCTGATGGGTGTGGGAATTGCAGGGTGGGGCCTGCTGCAGAATTCAGGGAAACAGGACCCCATTGTCAGTGGCCTTTGGGGACAAGGGAACAAGCAATGGCTACCACCACTCACCCTCGTGCTGCTCTTTGCCATGCTGCCACCAGGTCTGTACCCCTCCCACGAGGAGTCCTAGGGTCTGGATCCTGATCTAAGGGGTAGGTTGAATATGAGACCACCCCTGTTCTAGGATGCATCTCCTTAGTTTACCAGTGAGAATATCTTAGGATACATCAAAGCTTTCCTGAAGTCAAGGTGTATCACATCCACAGAACCCATTCCCTGGGTTACACAGGATGACTGTAATTTACACTTTCATGCAAATGAGATATGCTGTTAGGCTTTTGGTTAAACTGCTACTGACAGCCCTACATGCCCCCCGATAGAGAACTCACTCTTAAACCAATATGGGTCCTCTGTAGGTGAAGAACTCAGGAAGTTGTGGAAGACTTTTTTTCATCCCTGACTTTAGATTAACTGACTGAGAACTCTCCCAGGTCAGTGCTAAGAGTTTTTTGCAGTTGTTGGGTTCTGGATTTCAAAGCAAAGGTACATATAATTTAAGTAATCTGTGAAACTTTCAGTCGGGGAAGAAAAAAAACTTTATGAACAGACTTGCTTGTGTTTTAGGTGCAATATAAACATCCTGTTAATGATCAATGAACATGGCATTTTTAGAAATGAGACCACAGGCTCAAAGCTCCCATCCAGATGTGCATTCCTTCAAAGTTTGGAGGGCATCCAGAGCTAAGACTTTGGATTAGGCTCATCTCCACTTCTGTTAAAATCTTCAGCTGTCTTTATTTTGTGTATGGTAATAAATTAGCTCTTTTTAAAGAGTTCTGAATTCTGGAAAAAGCCCTGAAAACGCTTTCTGATCAGATCCAGTTTTTCCTGGGTAGTGCAAATGGCTTCCTTAGAAAGCCATCTTGGTGAAATTTCCATGTTCTTTTCCTTTGGTCTTTAAAATGCTTCCTGTGAATTCAGTATTAGTGAAAGGTGTTTAGCACTTGAAATCCTTTCTTCATATGGCAGATATAACATGGATAGATAAGGCAGCACTTCCAGCTTTTGACTTGGAGCTGTGCAAAGTGTCCTTTCCCTTGATTTAAAAAGAGGAGCAACTCTAGGATTGGGGCCAGAGGTGTTCAGGTTCTATGGCTATGGTAGATGGATTTAAAAATGATTTTTTTATCATGATTTAAATAGATTTTAATCTTGTTAAGTCTTTTTTTCGACCGCACTTATTTTTCCTTGAAAACCATTAAAACTTGCTGACTTGCCTCTAAATATGGCTTATGAAAATTTGTACTGCTTTTGTTACAGGCATACATATTTGTTTAAATAATTATAGCTTAAAATACATGCATTCAGATTCAATTAAAAACATTATTTTCATGTTAGCAAATGGTTAATGCTCTCATTTTTATTTACTGAACGACTAATCTTTTACTTGCAGTTTTGTTTTAGGCTGCATGGTGAGGGAACTGGAATTCAATTAAATGCACAAAAACGGTATGTTAAGATTCTTAACTAGCCCCTTTACCCCTCTAAAAATGTGCTGGAAACACTGAAAAAAAAGTTTAACAAAATATGTTTTACATTTTCTAACTGATTGATTCATTAGAGAAAGTTTTACCATTAGAGGTGCACAGATGCATCTGTCTGATGTTGGATCGGTACCAATATAAAGAAACTTGATTGTATTGGAAATTGGCCTGATGTGGCTGATAACTTGGCCAATAAATACCCGTGCATGCGCAGCACATAGGCAGTGAGGAGCACAGCCTGGCAGCTTGGAGAGCTGCGTGCAGCTGGTAAATCCATGGTGGCGGGTGGGGAAAGGGAGGGGTGTGAGGGGGCAGATCAATGCCCCCCTGTGGTGAGGGAGGGAGTGGGGCTGGGTCTAGAGCAGGGGCTGGGGCAGGCGCTGCCCAGCCTCAGGGTGGAGTGTGGGACAGGCCCGCAGCTCATCCCGGGAGCATGAACAGGGGAAGTTGGCTTTTGCCATTGCTCAAACCCTGGGAGGGCACAGGGTGGGAGGAGGGCGTGTGCCCCTGGATCTGTGCAAGGAGGAGCAGGGTGGGCTGCAGCTGCGGGCTGGGGCCAGGGCTTTGCCAGCCTCTTTGCAGCATGTGGGGGGGCGGGGTTGGGCTGGGGCTGCACTCAGGGCAGGCAGTTGTCCCCCTCAGGGGAGGGAGGTTACAGGGGGCCTGTGGTAAATTTTTGGAGTTGCTGCAGCTCTCCTCATAGCCCTGCCTGCCTGAAGCACAGCCTGGCCCAGCCCCCACCAGGAAAAGCCTGGTGTAGCCCACAGCTGCAGCCTGCCCTGCCCCACCCCGCACAGATCCAGGGGCACGTGCCCCCAACCCCATGCCCTCCCATTGTGCACGCAGCGGCGGTAGTTGCTCCTTTCCCTGCACCCTCCAGACAAGCTGTGGCTCTGTCCTGTGCCCTGCCCTGGCTGGGCAGCGCCTGCTCTAGCCCCTACCTCACTCCCTCCCTCACCATGGGGGGATTGCCCCCACTACGCCCCTTCCCTCCCTCCTCCCCTTACACCACAACAAACTTACCAGCTGCACGCAGCTGTATCGGAAATCGAATCGGTATCAGTGGATATGCCTCCTTAAAAGTCGGCCATCGGTATCGGCCCCCTAAATTTCTATCAGTGCACCCCTAATTACCATCTAGCCATTAAATAGAATCACTTTATACATGGTGCTCATAGACAAAGTTCTAAAACAAGTAGATTCTATCACACAGGCCTTTTGCTTTCTACTCCACTTTATAAAAAGCTTCCTAGTTTTTTTGTTTTTGTTTTTTTCAGCTTCCAGTTCTGCACTCTCTAGTTCATTCAGATCCACATTACTGACTAATTTGAAAATTCTTGATGCACTTGAAAGAAGCTTTTACTATTACCAATTGGTTTAGCACATTAACAAACTCTTAGAACCAATACACATGCTCTCCTGGAGCAGACTTGATTAATCTAATTAGAATGTTCCAATGTGCTGCAGTGTTGCATGTATTTAGCAACCTATGTTTCAAAATGATGGTGGGGGTGCTTTAAAACTCATTGAACAA